GTAATATTATATGACATGTTATGTATAAAAATTGCATTAACTCACATTTAAGAAATCCTCCAAAGCAGCTGATAGAAACCCCAAAATTGGACACTGAATCACTACTTCGAAAAAACATAGTCTCTACTTACAACGCGAATTTAAAATGCTTAGTTAATATATTACAATGGTAAGAGTGGAGTCCTTAATCAGCACACAACACGACACACATCTTAGAGACTTCTGTGAATAAATTGGAGGCTTAATATTTGATAATTAAGTAACTCTATGAAAGTAGTTATTGGCTTCAGAAGCATACATAAAAAATTGTATGTTTTGGCAATGGACAATACGCAAAGGATACACTGGAATCTGTAAATAGGATACTTAATTATGAGATTTATATGAATTGAAGACCCTGTAACTTTTACAGGTAACAATCATTAATATTTATAAGCCGATGCCAGTAAATAACCTCTACAGGTATTTTTGTTTTAGCAGTATATTCTCATTTAATTTTTATTCCAGACTGACGTAATAAATTACTAAAAAAAAGGTTGCATGAATTAATCAAATTTAATTAAAAAGCTAGTTATTTCGACAATTAATTTTGTCTAACCACAAAAAAACATGTCAAACTGTAAAACTTACAATAAAAACTTCAAAACTGTGAAGAGAATGACAGCTGTCGCTCATGCAACAAGTTCATACAAGACCATGAGCGCGAATTTCAAATCTAAAATGTACTCAAAACTAGTGGTGTATGGCATCGTGCCTTAAGGCAAATTGCTGGAACTTTCCGTACCAATAATTAAATTTTTAAAACAGATTATTTATTTTCAACTTTGAAAAAATTAGATTTTTGAGAAATTTTAAATTTTTGGAAAAAAAACTTTTGGAAAAAAATGTTTTTTTTTATTTTAAAATATTTTGGAAATTTTGAATCTTTTTTCAAAGCAATCGCACTGCTTTAGCTGCATACAAATAAAGCGCGTAAGCGCCGCTTTGCCGTCTAACGGACAATGGAGCCCATAAAAATGTAAAAAAATGGTACACATTAATAAATTCTTCATAAAATATCTGATAATTTAATGTGCATATGTCTAATGATCATTTTTTTAACTTTGTTTGCTAGATCTCCGAAACCGCTAGACCTGCTTTCATCAGTTGTTCATCTTGTCAATACAAGTAAAATGTTTTCTGAATTATTAAAATCGGATGATCCGTTCTATCAAAAACTGACTTACCGTTTTTGGCACTTTTTGCCCCGTATATTCGGAACGGCTAGACCTGTCTTTGCCAAAAACTAATCAGCACATCTCCTTATCAATACGAATCGAATGTTTTTTTAATTATTCAAATTGGTTGATCGGTGTTCCCGAAATTGTTGACAAAAATTTGTATCCGCACTCATACATCGATTTTTTTAAGGTATGCCAAAATGTTCAGAAACCTCTGAATCGTAAAGATATATACACATTTTCGATTTCTTTGCGATTACTATAACTTACCCTACATGAAGTTAACAAATCTCACTAACATCATCATAATCTGCTAAAAATATATGCATTTGTTCAAAATATACAAAAGGCTATTGGCGCTGAAGATTATGTATGACTGCTGATTGAAATTAAATGATATGCCTAACTTATTCTGATATCAATTATCTCTTGCAGAATTTTTATTATTCTCTCAATGATGTATCCAATTTTACTTACAGTCTGAATAATCTGTAAAAACTAATTTATGATCAAGCACTCAAAATAAAACTCCATGAAAATTAGCTTTTATTATTATTATTATAAGCAATATTTATTACATACGTGTTCAATACATTTCTATTTAGAAATGCTAATCTGGTACTAAAATTAAAAAAAAATCACAAATGATAAAACTTACTTTATATTAACATATATATTTTTTCTAATTGTATAACTAAATTTGAAACATTCATTTAGGATAATTTAAAGAGAATTGTTTCAGGTAGTGAAAGAGGTCACAATATTTTAAATTTAGTAATTATATATATATATATTTGTCTGAAATACTCACGAATGTTATTATTACAATTTTCACTTTGTCATAGAATTTGACATAGATATCATATTAATTTGAAAAGTACTCTGCTCATATGGATGTTTACTAGATAAAACGTTAAAACTTAATGTTTCACGTAGTTAGGCTAAAAAGTAACACAAAAAGTGACTATTTATAGCTTACGTATTGACCTTTCGGGTAACATTTTGGTATCAAATCATTCTCCTATTTCATATACCTTTCTGAATTTGATGGTTTCTGTCGAATTCTCAAATTGTGTTCTGCAGTCTTATAATAGTGATATCAATTAATAATTATTATCACAATCACGAATAAATTTACACGTTATAGCAGAGACCAAGTTATACGAGTGCCTACAAGGCACGGCGTGTTTTATTGTGTACCCAAAAATTTTCCGCCGCTTTCGGTTTAACATTTTTAGCGATATACATTATTTCCGATGGTATTATTTGATATTATTAGATTTGAATTAAATAAATTAATTAAGGATCAAAATCAATACAATATTCTTTATGCAACAATATCTTAAAAGCTTTCACATAGAGTTAACGACAAATTATATAAAATCATAATAACTCTACATTTTATCGATAGAAATATAAAAAAATCTTGAGCGATACTAAATAATTAAAATTAATATTGTTTAAATACTCAAAATATTTGTATTGTGGCAGAGATAAAGATGATAACGTCCACTCATGGGACACTCAAGCCGAATTTAAATGTTATTTGCAGCTGTGAACCATTTCACCATAACTATTTATGATATTAAATAAAAATATACATATGCCTATTTCTAGATTAATGTATAATAATTACCCCTATACATTTACTATGAAAATAATTAATGTTCAATGTGTTTATTATCACATTGATCGCTGGGTTAATATTTTTACGAGATCTTGTCATAAAATCTATATGCAATATAAGCTATGAAAAGTGATTAAAACCCTTGTGCAACAGTAACATCGAAGCGTCATTAAGTTATCAATAATTGCTTAACATTATACATACTTTGTATTCATATTATATTCAATCAGTACCAATTACGCATATTGATTCAAGATTTCATTTGAAAATATATAGATACAAATTATTTAAAGCAAAGTTAGTTAGCTAATTTATTTAATCAATATTTGGTATGGTATTAGTTTTGCAATTATGCTGACTTTAAATTCTGCTGAGCAATATATTAATATAATATTCTTACTTCCATTTAAAAATCTACTGTACCACAGTATTTCATAAAAAATCGTAATTCTACCATAATAATATTATTTAATAAAATCTCAATAAAACATAAAGCTGTCATCCTTTGAAAAACTCATCCATTCAAAATGCGTTTTACAATACACATAAAATTTTGATTGTTTCTTACGATATATATTTTTTATAAGTAGAAGTAAAGAGAATTCTGCCAGCAAAAAGCAATTGAATTTGAGATAAACAAATGTAGAAAAAACTATTACCATGTTCTTTAAAAACGCTAAATCATGATAATTATTCATAAAGGTCTCAATATATATAATATAGAATCCATTCTATTTTATGATTTTGCTTGTTGACTAGATTCCTATTTCACATAAGTAACTGACATACTAAAAGTACCAATTTCGCCTAAGGTAAGAATATATATATATATATATATATATATATATATATATATATATTCATATATAATGCTGTTATTAATAGTATTATTATATCAATTTTTAACATTACAAATATTTTAATCATATATACAATTAGTTATATTGTTACAGGTTATACATGTATTTGCATATAACCAATAATTACGAAACAGTTTAATGTGTAATATTTAAACCTTATTCATTTCTTTTATAAATATAAATTTTTTAGAATAACACACTATGAAGTCGGGTTATTTCAGAAGTCACATTTCATAGTCCTCGTCCTTTCAAATATAATACTATACATAACGGAATATCATAATATATAAAATCAATAATAATTACTTACAAGCTAAAGTATATACAAAACAGTTTATAAATATTTCATAAGTGTTTAACAAAATATATTTTTACTAAATATGATCTACGATTTTTATAAAATATAAGTAATAAAAATCTAATAATAATTTATGACTTTCATATATAATTCACGCAGACCCCAAGCAATAAAATAATGTTCCGCCAAGAAATGGAAACAAGCCACTTAGAAGCAGATCATTCAATATTTAAAATCATGAAAATTATAAAAGACACAAATTAAGAGAGATTAATATATATATATATATATATATATATATATATATATATATATTAGAGTGGTATAGTTAGTCCTTAATATGGTATTTTCGATTTTTTTGCTCCCAGGGGATCAAAAGCTTCCAAATTGACTGAAAAAATTGACTGAAAGTTTGAGCTCTTAATATTAACTTTAAGATAGTCCGCACTCCAACCAAAGTTTCCTGGTTCTTCTTCCTTAATAAATACTTATTTTATAAATTATATCGAATTTTTGTTGTATTTTTTTTTATTTATGATGAAAATAAGCAAATACAATGTTATTTTCAATATTTTGATTCACTTGTCGCTAAGTTATAAAATTCTAAAAAACAAATGGAATTTTACCCATGTTGTTTCCATAAGAAACTTTTGTTGGAGTGGGGACTATCTTAAAGATAGTATGTTAAGAGCTAAAACGTTCAGAATTTTTTTTATCATTTTGGAAGCATTTGAGCACTTGGGAGCATAAAAATTGGAAAATATTCATATTAAGGACCACCTTAATATAATAGGTTGTCAAATATCCGCCTTTTTGTATTATAAACCAAGAGCAAAAAAGCGGAAGGGAGATATTTGACAACCTAATACATACATATTCATATAGTAATAATGATTTGCGTAAAACATTTGAGTATTGAAGAAATTAGTCTATATAAAAACTTATCGTTACGTGTCATAGCAATTAAATCATTGCAAATTGAATTGAATGTTTGAAAATATAAATTTTGCGTTCCTTGGGAAATCATACAAATCTCATTCAGAGTATATCTCATCGCGCCTTTGAGCTATATGGTATAAAGAAATAATTTTCAATTTGAAACAAATTGGTCGAATATGTAATTTATGAGTCATGAGCCGGAGGAAGATGAGATCTGACTTACTGCTCGCGTGCGGATCGGGCCCTGGTGACCGCTGGAAACATCGACGCGATGGTCTTCAATAGACGAGCACCGACTCCATGGTGATTAAGTCTCATTTGTTCGTCGGCGGAGCAGGTGGCGTAACAGCGGGCTGGCTGGCTTGGTTTTGTTGGCTGCTGGGCTGGTTCGCCGAACGACGCGCCAGGCGCGACCTGCCGAGTAAGAAATGAATTCCTGTGTTACATACTTTTGTTCTTAAAAACAGACTTATTATATTACATTAATTATTAACTAGTGGTGTATGGCATCGTGCATTAAGGCAAATTGCTGGAACTTCCCGTACCGTAACGAAATGTTCGAAGAATATTAAATGTTTTAAATAGATTATTATAAATACTGTAGCATTGTCTAATATTTATTTATAAGAATAATGTAAACTGAATTGCAAAGTTGAAATTATTTGTTTAAAGTATATTAGAACAGAATTAAAATGAAAATCTGAATTATTTTCGATATACAAAAAAAAAAAAAATTCGAAAAAAATCAATTATTTTGTTAAAACAAGCAGAAAGTTTTTTGAATCATTTAAATCGGACGCTTAGTTTTCTCAAAAACTGCAATTTTTTGCACATTTAGCTCTGTATCTTTGAAATGGCTGCGACTGCCTTTGCCAAAAACTAATAACCACTTTTCCCAATCATTACTAATTGAATGTTTTTTAGATCATTCAAATCGGATGCTCCGTTCTCTCAAAAACTCGATTTCTATTTTTTGCACTCTTTGCTCTTTATCTCCGTAACTGCTGGACCTGCCTTTGCCAAAAACTAATCAGCACATCTCCCTATCGATAGGAATCGAATGTTTTTTGAACCATTTAAATCGGTTGATCCGTGCACCCGAAAACGTAGGCGAAAAAAATGTGGATACACAAAACACACACACACACATCCATTTTTTCTGAGGTATTTCTGAGAAACCTTCAAAACGTGGAGAAATGCAAAAATTTTCGATTTCGATTTTTGGTCGATTGCAATAACTCACCCTACGGGAAGTTAAATATAAAAAAATTAATTTATTTCAATAATAGAATAACTATAAAAATAATTTAAATATTGTATTTTCTTTATAGATAAAAATTAATATTAGTTTGTACAGATAAAATCTAAATTTCACTCTCTAGTTTATTTTTAACTTGTCGAATTATAATTTTCTTTATAAATTAAAGATTTTGTAAAAAATAATTCTGTTATTTGCTCACCTTGAATTTACGTAGCAATATATATAAACACTAATTAAAAACAAAGTTTTAAAACAATGATGCTTTTTTGTTTCTATATTTCAAACAAACTAGCTTATACACCCATAAAATTTAGTTTTGATCATAAACCGGAAAGTTCCCATCTTAATCTACAGATTTCCGTTATAGACATAGACTACTAAAAATTCGTAACTGCGACTTACATTTTGTAGTGTTGTATTTTGACAGTAAAACCATTAAATTGTAATTGTAGATATAAGAAAAAATATTATTAGATATTTGTAGTACTTGAATAAAGTAGTTTACTCAAAATAGCTGAGAATAATTTACAGAAAATATCGAAATTTCAGACAGAAAGTAACTTTTTAGTAAAAACTTATTTAGAATGGTGATAGAAATTTATTTTTTTGGAAAAGAACTCTTTATCCAAAAAAATGTCGAAGCAAACAAGGCAGAACAAGTTTTTCTATAGAAGCAATAGAAGCAAAAAAACAAAGATAGTGTTGAAATGAAATAAAAGTGTATCTCAAAAAGAATCAGAAGCATTTATTGCAATTTTATATGAGAGCCTAACTAACAAAATAACGTTTACAGACCTATTTTTGCTAAAACTATAAGTAGACATAAATTGACCAAACTTCCTAGATTTCTTCCTTTTGATAATAATAATCAGACAACTCAACGTTTGAAAACAGACAAATTCGCTATGAGATCTACGATTTGAAATATTTTTATAGAAAACTGAACAAACTGTCGCATTAATAATACTATAAGACAGTAATATTGCTATAGATAAACAGCTATCTCCGTTTAAAGTATGATGCAGGTTATAGGTATTCTGTTAAATAAAAGGAAGGTACTACTAATTGCAAAGAGAAATTGTAGTCTTACAATGAGAAGTTCTTGTTCTTGTAACTGCTTCATATTACAATGTAAATAACGCGCCTTGACGTTTAAATACGCTTCATTCCACATAATGTGATGATAAATATTAACATAATAAACTAAAAAATTGAAATGATCGTTGAGGTAATGTCAAAATATACATTACCATCAATTCGGGTTTAGAACCCAGCACTCCACAATACAACAATGTCATATGATAGTAAATAGCATCCAAAAGGCAATAGAAAGAAAGGAATATTGTTCAGCAATATTTAATAATATCAAACAGGCATTTGATAAAGTATGGCACGAGGGCCTACTCATCAAAATAAAAAATTCTTTGCCGCACAAGATATTTTTACTATTGAAAAGTTACTTAACAAACAGATTATTCAGAACTAGAGTTGGAACAGAAACATCAGAATTATGTAACATCAAGTCGGGGGTTCCACAAGGGAGTGTTTTAGGGCCACTATTATATCTCATTTATACGCACGACATTCCAACTAATAGCAATGTCATAATTGGAACTTTTGCCGATGATACAGTTGTCATGGAAACTCATACAAATGCATCCGTCGCAACGTCAAAAGTTCAACAATATGTCTTCGAATTTGAAAAGTGGCTCAATAAGTGGAAGATTAAAATAAATGAAACAAAATCTAGCCATATAACCTTCACAACAAGAACCCTGGACTGCCCAAGTGTAAAAATAAACAACATAGAAATACCGAAATATGAGAGTGTAAAACACCTTGGGATTCATCTCGATAGAAAGTTAAGCTGGTCAACGCACATCAAAATGAAAAGTAAACAGATGGAGAAGAAGTTCAAAGAGTTGTATTGGCTAATTGGCAGGAGTTCAAATATGAGCTATGAAAACAATCTTCTTTTATATAAAACAATAATTATCCCAATCTGGACATAAGCCATTGAGCTATAGGCGTGCGCTAGCAATTCAAATATAAAAAAAATACAAGTAGCGCAATCGAAAATTTTAAGATGCATTGTGAACGCACCCTGGTATGTTACAAATGACACCCTACATAAAGACCTAAAAATAAAAACCTAAAAAAAGATGATAAAAGAAAGAAGCAAAAAATACCACGAAAAACAACCAGGTCACCCTAACAAATATTTAAAAGAATTGAGCGAGAAATATCCCACACGTAGATTGAAAAAAAATGGCCATACGATCTCAAATAAAACGTCAAAAATAAAAAAAATAAGTGAGATATCTCATAGAAGATAATCTCTTAATGCATTAACACCAACATCACATTGTCTTAAAAATGTATTTTATTTTGATTGACAATAAAACTATGCAAATATATATATATATATATATATATATATATATATATATATATATTATTTAACTGCAGTTATGTACCTATTGCTTGAACATAACAGTCGATCATACTGGTACAGATAGTTTAGAACTCACCTTATTTGACCGGCAAGCAGCGGATTAATGGCGTAAAGCCAGTCGTGAACTTCGCGGTCACCGAATGTCTGCAGCAGATACCCGCGGTGTTTGGTCACGACGCTGAACGTGTTCTGAACGCGTAGCATCGCCGCCTGGTCCTCTGAGCATTCCACTTGTGCTGTTGCTAAATTAACTACAGCCCGTTCCACGGGGTCTTTGTCGGAACGGTAGATGAATACGTAAGGCCTTAAAAAAATTCAATAAAATTGGAGTTATGCGCTGTGCTAATTAGACTATATAAATATTAATCATTTCAAATAAAAAATGGGGATTGATAACTTATAACACATTAACATATTAATGATTATAGACGCCAATCAGATATTGAACGTAAAATGTTCAGTTCGGTCTCGTCTGTCTCAAAAATATAGCGGTTTCATGTAGCTCGGCTACGACATTTTTACGACACATAGGCCGAGCCTTATCGCAATACTGAATACATTAATAATTAAATAAACTAGTTGGTATTGGTATTTTGCCTTGAGGCAAGTTACATGAACTTCCCGATTTGTGTAAATAATCGACTTAATTAATAGAAAATAAATTAATTTATGAGTGATTAAAAGTATTCCGAGTGGATTTACTACACATAATTGAAAACGACCGAACACGTTCATTCGGAGTATTTTCTAAAAGCAAATTTTCAAAAATCAAACATTTTTATAATTAAATCAGTTTCCGTAGGACTTTAATGGTGTAGTATGTTCATTAAGACCAAGTACTATATCGTTATACCAAGTAAATCGTCTAATTTTAATATTAACAAACGTCAAAAAAACTACTAATTTTCTTAAACTTTGATGAATTTTTAAAATTAAACTACTTGTCGTAAGGCATTAATAGTTCAGTCTGTTCTATAAGACCATGATACATATCGCCAAAAAAAGATCCATAAAAATCGGCTTAATTTTTTTTTTCAACAGTTAATTACAAGAAAACGGCTCGGTAGAGTTTCACCTAAAACTAATCAGTATCATTCTAAACTAATATCTTTTGAACAGATTTTTTAAAATCGATTCGGTAGTATTAGCTTAAATGTCGACGAAAAGCTTAACACTTTTTTTTCTAAATTACAAAAAACGGCTCGACTGATCATCACAAAACTGAGGAACGATAATCCAGTCGTTTCTGAGAAACCGTCGATGGAAGGTCCAATTTTGACAAACGCCAAAAAACGATACTAATTTATGCAAAGTATGACGAATTTTTAAAATTAAACGACTTGTCGTAGGACCGTAATATTTCAGTATAATCTATAAGACTTTGGTATCTACTGTCAAAAAAAAAATGATGAAAATCGTCGAAAAAATTTTTTTTAACACTTTATTACAAGAAAACGGCTCGGAAGATCTTTACCAAAAACTAATCAGCACGATTCCCAACCAATATCTTTCAAACAGTTTTTGAATTTTTAAAATCGATTCAGAATTGCGGACTCAAACGTGGACAAAATTTTTTTCACTTTTTTGCTATTTACAAAGAAACGGTTTGGCTGATCGTCGCGCAAAATTGATAAACGCTAGTCCTCATCGAGATACATCAAATGGCTTTTAAATTTTTGAAATCGATCCAGCCGTTTTTGAGAAAACACACACACATACTTTTTCCAAATTTGGTCTCATTCGATTCAGAATGATTTGAAACGTCGAGAAAACAAAATTAGCGAATAGGATTTTTTTCATGAAAACATAAACTTCTCCTTCGGGAAGTTAAAAATTAATAATCTAATGTAGAAATACCTGCGCACAGTGACCCATCGTTTCTTCCATCCAGAAATGCCATGTTCGAGAACATTTAGATAGCCGCGACGGGCGACTGCAGGCGAGACGCGTATTTCTTCAATATCGGGTGCATACAAACGAAGCGATTGTTGCTGCTGTTGGGACTGCTGTTGCTGCAATTGTTGTGGTCCGCCGATGATAGTCGATGCTGCTGAATGCGGCGCGGGTGCCTCCCAGCCGCACATACCTGCAGAATCTTTAATTGATTTATCTATGCACTTCTGTCAGTTACTTTACAATAAGTTAAAAATTAGCGATAATCGTATTTAAAAGTTATACTTTTTTATGATAGTAACGCTGTGGTCTTGATAATTGATGTTACATCAGTTGTTGCATTTTGTAACATTGATAAAATACAAAAGTACAAAATCATCATCATAATAAAATTACATTGTTTTCGATTACTTAGGTTTATGTAAGGTATTTGCAATTTGTAAAAGATAAAATGGATAATATTTATAATATTTATAATTTGTGATGTTGTTTCGATAATAATATACCGATAAGAAATTTATTAATATAAAAGAGTATTTCAATCTACTTAAAAAAATAATAGAAATAATATTTTATAATTTTCAATAAGTTGAAATAACAGAATGCGGAAATTATTATATTATGAAACGATAAGACGATAAAACACAATAAATATTCTATTGTGACAAATATTATAATATTAACCCTTTGAACTCGGATGCCGCCATAGCGACGGCATAAACTAAGTGGCGCTATAGCGGACATGAAATGCATATTCTATATAATTCAAAAAATTAGAGCAACTTACCAGCATCTCTTTCGGGAGAGCATAATTCAATCGATCCACCGCTGATCATACTTGCTGTCATATCAGCGCATCCTTCATCACAACCAGGAGAAGCATCCTGCGCTGACAGTAATGCGTTTTCTTTTTGTCCATCTTTCTGCTGAGCGGGCTTTCCCTGGATGAGACGTACACATCGTAGCACCAATTCGCGTTCGCGTTCGGTCATTTCGCGTTCTTCTTGTGCTGGTGGTGGGCAATCAAGTGGCGATGGTGGTTCCAGAATAGGTGCCGGTGAGGCGGATGCACGTGCTACCATGTTACATACCTCCTAATAACATATTTGTTACAACAAATTAAAATCCTATTCAAGTTATATATCTTTTATTGTAAAACCGACATCAGTAATAATTTATTTGATCTCAATAGATTTTTTAAATATATAACTCTTTTTATATATTTATTATATTGAAAGCTCACAAAATATAAGCTCACTAAATAGGTATATTTTAATTCATATACAATTCATATGCAAGTTTTACTATCATTTACTATACCTTCTCGCTTTTTGTGAATTCTGTACGATTGGGAAGCTGGTCAACTCCCAAACGTTCTCGCAGCAGCAAGAAGTGACGAACTCTGCCGACTTCCTCTAGTCTAGTTAATTTTTCCAGCTCCCACTATTAGAAACAACATACAAGTATAAATTAAAACATGATAATATTTAATTGTCTCGTTTTACTATATCTTCTATATTACCTGATGATCAAATATCAAGGAATCTCCTCTCGGGCGCCAACCGTGCAAATTTTCTTCACCTCTCACGTAGGTAGAGCTTGTATCCAGAACCCTGCGTTGGCGTCTCTGCACACCTGAATATATTTTAAACGTAATCCAAATGTGTGGATGTAGAAATAAAAGCTCTTATAGAAAGTGTGTTTTATTTGATAAATCAAATTAAAGCAGTGTAAACAATATACTCCTTCAAGTTTTAATCTTTTTCTTTCAAATTAATCGCTTGAAACATGCAAATATAAAGTAACATTAATAGTGTAAGAGTAGATTTTATTTGATAGAGCATTACTTAGAAGTAGTTATATAGTAGAAAAGTGATAGATATGATAAATTTTATTGAAAATTTAATAGTGCTGGTAAATTTAAGCTATGAAATCCTTCCCCACTCAGAGCAGTCGATATATATTATTTCAAATACGACATTGTCTGAGTAAAGTATTAGAACATATAATAGACACATCGTGGCATAGAACACTGCATTTAAATTTGAGAAATAGCATTTGAAAAAGTACAAAGTCAAATTCATGCCACTAGGTCTTTTAAAAACAAACCTGGACTACCTGCTTCGTTGGCTCTGCGGAGCGATAGTTCGTAGACTCCGGACAAACGATTTGCTTCCGGGTTTCGATATTGACCAGAGAAGAGATGTTTCAGCGAACGAGGGCCGGTTCGAGCATCCCTGCCATAAATTATCATACTCAAGTCCTTGGTGATAATAGCGGGCCGAGCGCAATTCTCCAACTGAAATGTTGAAAACCTTATAGCAACCGCACATGAATAATTAAATTGGATGACAAACTGAAAAACATGCCTATAAACTGAGTTAAATGACCACAAACATTAGGTAAATCTGATTTCCTATTGTCTTATCATGTAATATAATATTTGTTTGATTACTTATGTATACTTTACATTCTGATTTTCAACTTTCGTCTGATAACGAGTATTATTTTGTAAACAGTATAGATCTCATTTAATAACTGTAAATTTTCCGTTAATAGATTGTTATTAATTAATCTGATTTCAATAATAAGGTTTGTTAAGATTATTTAATAGAATAGTATCTATGATGCAAATTTAAGTGCAAAGTTTCCATATTGAATTTGCAAATCAAAAGTTTGACTTATGTTTTGATCTATGTTACAATGACTTAAAACTAGAAGTATTTGTCCTTACCTCTAGATACGCAGAAAGCGTGATGTAAACTTGTTCACCACATGGAGTAACTCTGTTGAGAAGTGCGGAATTGTGTAAACTACTGTCCCAAGCAGCTTCAAATCGGAAGAAGCACCTGTCATCCCCAGGAATTTCCAGAGGTTCTCCAGGGAATAAACCAAGTGAGAGCACGCAGGAGTCTAGATCATCATCGTCGTCCGCAGGCTCGGGAGTGCCGCGAATGCGACCTGCATTGCAACAAACATCATAAGTATGATAAGGGTAAGTTTTCTGGGCGAGCTATTCAAGTGGCCTAAATTTCATAATATCTCGCGACTATAGGAATAATCCTTAAATCCATAATTTAGTTTAATTTATAGTTAATTTTATAAATTCAAAGCAATTAAACCACTTGAATCTCGCGTTGTTCTTATGCAACACTTTTTATGAACTATTTGCGAATATATTAGAGCATTTTTTTGTTATGATGATTTAGTAATTGTTATTACATTATTTATTGTAAGATGTATTATAAAAACTAATCATCTAACCATCATGATGACCCAGTAATATCCCTCGACTTTTAAAAATCCTTTTAAGATTAGACGTAGACGTATTGAGTGAAGCGAAGTATTTTGCACCTTTCTATTAATTATAAAGAATCGGCTTGACCGATCGTAGCGCAAAACTAATAATCGCAAGTTCCCATTGAGTTGCATCGAATGTTTTTTTTATTCACGTATATACACACATATTTTTTGTCCAACTGTGGTTTCAAACGATTCAGATCAATGCCTTGAAACGTCAAAAAACTCAAATTTCTTTTTCGGGAAGTTAATTGAAATAAACAAGAAAGCGAATAAAAATAACAACAAGAAAGAAAACAAAAGAAATAAGAAAAACTATTTCTGCATGATGGAAAATGAATCAAGTAAGTGGTACGGTTGTAATTAAAAACATCAAGTGTATACATAGTTTAAATCTTTAGTCGCATTTTTGAATGTCACTATTTAAGTATTGATACTTATATGTAAGATACTAAAAACAGTCGAATGAGCAATTAAGAAAATACTTAATGACAATGAAATTTGAAATATTTGCATGCAATAGCATTCACCATCGTAACCATAGATTTTTCTAAATTCATAACTACGTATAAGTAAAACATTCCGGTCAGAAATTTTGATGGGCATGATTATGGCGAAGTAAGTAATGAGTCTTCATTCATAAGTTTGTTAGAAGTGTTATAGAGAGAAACACATAAGCAAATTACGAATTCAATTTAATAATCAAGAGATGAATTAATCATTCAACGTGAATAGGTCAGGCGCATTCACAAGACTTGTATGCATACCTTCCGTTAGCCGAAAAGAATTTGTATCCTTTAGAAGTTCATGACGGATTCGAACTTTTCGAAAAGTTGATTTTTGCATGACACTATCAATGCATGAGGCAGTAGAATACAATGGATAATAGCTTCTTTCTGCGGTTTCAGAAAAATAGGTTTACATGATTCTTGCCCTAATCAAATCGTTTTGTTTTTGAATTACAGATAAAGGCACGAAAACCAACTGAAGGTATTTGGATGACGAAAATGTGAAATTAATTTCTACAACTATTAAGAATTAATGCAGCTATTTATTACTACGTATTTTCTACATAATTATTGTACTTTGAAGATATCTACTGATTTTAATCAAGATTTATTATGATAAAATTAACATACCGACAACTAATTCTCTGACATCTCTCCAGCAGACTTCAGACGATGGTTCGTGGACGATAGTAATTCTGATGCGTCTTTGGATGCCTTGATGCAACAGAAATAGTCCACGGCAAGGAAGATCGTCGCTGTGATCCACAACCTAATCCAATAAAATTTCGATTTAAATTTTTATTCGGCCGTTATGTTATATTGGCAAACCCAACTGAAGCTTACCGCAGGCACATATTCCCCATTCGGAGCCAGTTCGCAAATTTCAAACCAGACAAGAATATCGTGTTTGGCCAAAACATGGCTGGATGGCGGGCATGGTAATGGTCCAAATTTAGGGCTGCGAACGGGTTGGCTGATAGGAATAGACAATGGCATCAAACGACGTGGCGGAGGTCTAGCAGGACAATCTAATTTGGCATCCTGAAGGGTATATAGAAAGACACAGCTTATAATAATTGTTAATCACAAATATAATAAATAACAAAGCAATAAACTTTCTAATAGTTTTAAAAAGTTTCAGATATAATATCAGACTTTAGGTGCTCGCAAATGCAGCTTTGATAATCATGCTTTGTTTAAGTTATTTTGAAGCCATTTTTGAATTAGTTTATGTATACGTGACAATATTGGCTCACCTTATGCAGAGGATGATGTTGGTAATGTCCAAATACTTTAAACATTATCGGTTGCGTTTTTATATATTCTATGAATGATTTAGTCACAGGCACAGTAATCTGTAATAAATGAAAAAGATAATGAAATCTCCTAAGAAATCATTATAATTATAAAAATGTTGAAAATTATTTCACTGACATTCTGTACATGATAGAAACCCAAAGGTGAACCGCCTGAGTTTTTAATGGGTTCGGTGGAGAAAGCTTCTTCATGTCGATGCAAAAAGCTGCAAGCACAAAAAATTATTTTAGTGTAATTCTAACAAAACAATATATAATATATTATGTATTATAATAATATATCTACTTGAATTGGCAAAATATATCGGCATATTCAGGCGATATTCCAGTTGCCTGCAGCACCGTGACGCGAAATGTAAATTCTTTTCCAACTGTTAGATGTTCTCCAATTGGATCTTCTTCGCGCACTTCTGAAGAAACACTACTGTCACCACGTCCGCTATCTGCATCACATTCTAATTCTATAAAACAAACAATAAACTGAAATGAGCAAGAAGTTTCAAATTTAAATAAAAAAACAATCATTCTTACCATCATTTTTGATGCAGTCGTTTTGACCCTCAATATAACGGTCGTCTAAAATTTTACCCAAGGAGGGTATTTTTTGTGATTTGAATTCATCATCGAATAGTATTTTTGCTGACTGTTTTACTCCATTATGAAAATCTGCACTTTCTTCATCCTAAAATATTTCATTGCATATCATTTTAATTCTGTTATAAATATTAAAAAGTACCATGTGACAGTTATTATTATATAAATAAATCAATGATGGATAAAGTTTTTTTTTATTTGATTTCTAAACGACAGTATATTGTATGCAATACATGCTGAACTGATACTTACTAATACCGGCTGAACAGCAACTCGGATGTAACCTCGAACATCTCCTCGCTCGTTGACAACTGCTACCTTGTGCACCAAAGGTACAGGATAAAGCAAGTTGCTTAGATATACAAACGATCTGAAATAATCACATGTGCAGAGTTACTACTATCATAAGATTCAACACGATAAAATTGGGTAATTAGTTACCTTCCAACCATTCTAAACCACGGGAAACGGTCATAGAACGGATCACCGCCGGTTAAGCTTTCTACATTGTAATCTGGTGATGTGGGAGATAACTCGGCTTCATTGTGGTACATTTCTCTCATCAACTCAAGCCTTTGTCTAAATAATAGAAAAAGTGCAAATTATAATTAAAAATCTCATCACTTCGATTTTCTACTTCGCAAAAAATGCATAGAATTTTTCTTGATTATAAAAATAACAAGAATTTTGTTGAATATGTAAGTAACGCGAATCAGTTATACTTCGAAATAGTTAAATTAATTAAAAGGTATAAGATATTAAATCAAAACGGCAGAAATTTCTGCACGTTTTTCACAAGAATATTTAATTGGATTTAATTAAATATATAAATCTTAATGATACTATATTATATACATTTATAACATAGTGCACACTAAGAATTTACAAATTAATGCATTATGCAAATAAGCAAAATATCAAACAAAACCATTCTGAAAGATGAGCGTGAAAAATATTTTTAAATTTTACCGAATGTAACATATTTTTTAGTTTATATATGGATCATGCAAATTTATTGTCACACTGGCTTCTTATTTTTATGTTTAAATGCAACGTTAAGAAAAATGATAATACAATAATAATAGTCTGATACCTCAAAGGCAATAAGACGAATATAAGCATATATACAAACATTTACAATTCAATAATATTATAAATAAAACATGATATGAATATATTAATTAAAATAAATAATAAATGTATAGACTTATTTAGTTAAAATAAATTTTATATGAACAGATTCATAATAAATACGATGTACATAATATATAATACATATAGATAATTTTATAATTTACTTATCAATATTTATTCAAATAACACTTAACAAGCAAAGTGAAGAGCATTTTTTTTACATGCGCTTGTATATAGAATTATTTTGAATTGCAAAGCTATCAACAAAAAAGATATTAAAGATGGCGTTAACTCATATTTTTTATAATAAATTCCAAAGTTCAATTATGTAAGATAGAGCGGAGCTTAAAGGTCCGCGAGTAAAAAGGTGCACCATCAATATCTCGAAAACCAGTAAAATTAAGAATTTTATAACAAGAATATTTGAAAGTAGGGGTAAAAAGATATATAACCTGCCATCACCTTGATTCATACAACGTTGCTGTCGGGAAAAAATCGGCAATATTTGAAAATTCGTAACAAAAATATTTTCTTTCGTTGTTAGCTTTTTTGGTTGTGAGAAACTATTGCTAAGTATACGAGACCTTAATATAATTTTTAAGTATACGTTATTTGTTTGTGCTATAAAATGTATTGTTAATTTTAAGTTAGATTCAACAGTTTTTTTAAGTAACCTCTATAAAAGCTTATTCCTGGGAGGGGTGAAAAAGACCAAATTAACATTTACCTTGGCAAAGGTGTAAAAAATACAAAATAGCATAAAAGCTAATAGCATAAAAGCATAGCAAAAAAGTAAATTAAGTTGAAAAATCAATTTTACAAGAGATAAATTGAATGAATAGTTATTCCAACTCTGCTGATAGATATTTCTGACAAAATACCAGATCAAGGTTATTTGCAGTGTTATTTCTGTAAAAAATGCACCCATAAAAAATAAAAAAACACATTTTTTCTGTGATAAATTAGCTGGGAATTTTACTGATTATAGTCAGATAGTTGTTTGTTTAATCTTTGTTTTTGTTATGATGTAATTGGTTTGGTTTTCACAATATAATTTCTCAAAGTCAAATTGGACCTTTGTGCCCCGCCCTACCCTATGTTTTTTATAATTCATATTAGAAAATAAATAAACAGAATAAAATCTTATAGGAATTTTCCGACCATTTAGGAATTATAGTTTTATTTGAACACAAAATACGTTTTTCATATAATTTATATATTTCAATATTTAACAGTATTTAATAGCAATCACTTTAAAAGAAAAGTCTTGAAAAGTCAACGCGTTCTTTCTCGTACTTTTTATTTAGCAAACTTGGATGGATAAACATGAATGCTGTTTTGAATCAAAGCCAGTGTAAAATTGAAAATATGATAACATTAATATAGTTTACACTAAGTTAACTTTGCCTGAAAGATTCAAATTGAACAATGTAATAATTGATAAATCCATACAACACCTAACAAAGCTAATATATGTTAATGACATAATGCATTATAACAATGAATTTGAATCTGATAAACAAAGTTTATCTCAATATAAACAATAAAAAGTACGTCATCATATTTGTTTAGCCATTTTGACAATGCTTCATCATAATAAGGCGGTGATTAGTTTACTGAACAAATTTTGTTTCATATTTTTCACCTCGACGTGGGTAAGAGGTTAGCGAGCGTTAGCGTTCCCAGGTTGAGTCCGACGCGCGAACCGGGCGCGCAACCCGAAAAGCAGTGGAGCACGGGCTCGACTTGCCCATCTTGATTATTATCCGTAGGAGACTCATATTGTTCGAACAATGGCATCTCAGCATTGTATATGTGACGCATCAGCTCAAGTCGGTGACTACACACATATACACATACAGACACGATGATCGACTTATTTACAACTTATTGGCTAATTTAAATACGCTCAAAATCAGTTGAGTTTTCAAAGATTTTTAATTTACAATTGACATTAAAATAAATATGTCCCTCATGAATGATTATATAATAAATTTAAATTTATTTAAAAATTACAATCTTTGCTTTTCTCTAATGATATTGACAACAGTCAATGTGACTTAAAGCAATAGAAAACTTACATGTAAGCTTGTACTTCAGAATCATAATTTAGTTCTAAGTTAAAACTATGAAAACATTCATTGTGTGGAATTTTTACCGTTCCAGATGTCAAATAATTGTTTTTAAACACGCAGACAAGCAGTTTCAATATTTCATACAACTCTTTCAATTTTATCATTTATTTGAGCACGTGCTCTAACAGGCCTCTATAATGCATGCGAAAAAAAAAATTTAGAAAAAAATGTATCAATCATATACATGTTAAATTGGAACTAAAAATATATAATTCTTCATTTTTAATATTTTCAGAATCTTATGCCTTTGAGGACTTTTGTTAATATGCTGCGCATAAATATGTTACATGATGAAGTGGTGTTGTGCGTGTTAATAAGTGCTACGACTTACAATACTATAAAATATTAAAAATAAATAAATTGAGAACAATAAAAGCAAACATTAGTTGGCCCTACCGTAATTTTTCTAGAGTCCAATAATGTGTGGCACCATTCTTCGTATCAGTGACTTCCACTGCTACTGCCGTTCTGGGCAGTGGAGCACCAAATTCATCTGGCTCGCCGCCCAAACTTGCTCCCAATTCAGGTGGCAACGGTGAATATAACGTGTCGGTCAATAGCGTAAATTGAAATTGTACCTTTAAAAGGATATTTTTATAAAATTTCATATAAAATCTAGAATAACTAATATTGGTATCTATTAAAAAAAATTCTGTGAGTTTTATTTATATAATTCATTTCAATGTTCTTCAATAACCAAATTTATCAAGTAGTCATAGTAGATAGTTAGTTTATGCTTGGAGGTATATTTTACATTAAAATCTTTTATCAAACATTTTTCATTTTCCTTTATATCTAACTATGTAAGTGCTGATGCACTTATATATATGTATGAAAAATTTTGTTTTTTTAGGAAATCTAAAATCTAAAGCTATACAAAACACTGATTATTAATTAAAATTGTTCTTAAAATTCTTCATATAGCAAAACATAAAAAATGTTAAATTCATTTTTGTACCTTTTTCTTTAGCTCAACAGATATCGCGTTCGCTTCTTTCAAGAATATGGCATTGCCCCATAAATCATCGCGCAGTGAAGTAAATTGGTGATATCTCCAACGACGGAACGCCCAAGCAGCCAAACCTGCTTCCCTCGCAGTCCAGCAAGTCTCGAACAATGGATTCACTGCTTAAAAACCACCAAGTAAAATCATTATGAATACATTCTCAAGATCTTTTAAAATGCTGTTATTCTTAACAACAGCAACTTAATTTATATTTCTATTTGAGATATAAGTAGCTTTGTTTTTGGATTTGATTACTAAGCAAATGTCAAAAATAATTCTCACCGAATATTTCTTCCTCATTGTGGAAATCTTCTGGTGAATAAGAACTATACATAGACATAGTCATACTTTGTTCTTCAACTTGTTTTTGCAGTGCATCGATGCGTGCTTCATAGCTCTGTAATATAAGAATTTAAGTACAAAATTTGATAATAATTTAATAATATATGATTTCAATTCATACCTTTCTTTGCTCTTCAAATTCTTGATCAGCTTGTTCCTTATCACGCCGAAATTGTTCTTCTAAAGCAAGTAATCTCTTTTGCATTTCTGCTTTTAAATCAATACCTTGTTTCTCCAATAATTCGCACTGTGCAAAGTTCCAATCAGCGGTCTCCATAGTAGCTACAATTATGGTAAAAAATTCATAGTTAAAAATACAATAAATTTATCAAAAGTATCACATCCAAGTCTGGCTATTAGTAAAATTTATAATAAAAAAATTTAAGCGCTTACTTGATGTTTCTAGAGCGCAAGCATTTTTCTCTTTTCTATCGCGTGCTTGTTCCGGATGATTGAACCTATAATGAAATGTATATATGTTATATGAGATTGTAAATATGTGAGTTCTAGTATCCAACTATTTATAATGTAGAATAATGTAGTCAATTATTTTTATCTCAAATTTATTTTTATATCAAGTTTTATGAAATACGTTACCTAAAAACGTGATTCTTGCCAAGAATGACTCGAGAGCCTGTGACCAGAACTTCAGGTTCCGTTAGCATTTTGCCATTCAGGTAAACTAAAGCGCCATTATGTGGGATGAGTGTTACAACACCATCTTTATTGTCAAAGATGCAATGCTCCTGCAGAATATGCGATCCGGACAATTGAATGTCTTGAGGTACGTTCGCCTCGGAAGTGCCCATTCGTGTAATTCCTGTTAATAAAATTAATAAAAATAAGCAAAAAATCATGAAACTCAGAGAACAGTAGGTGATTATCTAATAATAATAATTATACAAACCACTCACCATTTTTAATGTAATACAGAAGACATTCCGACAAATTGGGATCCTCATTCAAATTAACAAGATGTGGAGTTTTCTTCGGTGAGAAAACTCCCACTGTTATTCCATCTTCTTTGACCGCTACACCCATTTCAGCGAATACTGCTTCGCGCTGGAGTCGAATTTCTTCAGTTCGTTTCAATTTATCCTCCCACGTTTCGTTCAATTCTGAATAAACATGATTATAAAATATTTAACTTTATGAAAAAATACAGAAATCGTTGAGTTTCCTTATATGGAAAAAATAATAATTTTATATAAACTCCATATAATATTATATATCTACCTACACCATGTTATGATAAAAATGCAATCAATAAAAAAATTGCATTTAATTAATAAAATAGTTAAACTACAGTTAAAGTCAAGGTTAAGAGTTAAATAATTAATAATACAATTTAAAAATAGTAAAAGAGTCAGCAGCCATAAAAATGGCTTAAATCAAATCGCTTCTTCATAACCTCACTATAAATTTATTAACATCAAAATTTAAAATATAACAACTAAAAGAAATATTCAAAAATAACACACTAATAAATAAAATCTATTATGGGAAACATACCAGCAATTAATTTCTCACTAGCCTGCAACTGATCAACAGCAATTTCAGCGCAAGTTGCTGTTCTGCTTCTTGATTCTTTATCGGATATAAGTTTATTATTTGTCTTGATGCCTTCGCATTCTGAAACAAATTTCATTTTACAGTTATATTGGACATTATAAATTATAATCAAAATAATAATTTCATTATACAAGAAGTACAGTAGCCGGATCAAAAATTTCAAAAAAAGTACTAAAAAGCTACGCTGAAAAGCAGTTCAATGCTTTAGATGAAATGATTATAAAAACATATAGACTATAGGTGAGTACTCACGAGAAGGAAACTGCAAGGAAAGATATTGCAAAGGTTCATTACAATCTTAATAAATATTTTACGGAATTTCTGTAAATAATTCTTGCTACGTGATTATGAAACTACAGTTTTAGTTTAAAGTAATGAACAATTATACTAGGTATATAATAGGTATAATAAATACACTAACAATAAATTGATTAATATTATGTATAGATACAAAAAAGAAAAAAATACTATTCAAGTTTCTATATTTACTTATACAGTTGCCTTCTCAAAACTAAAACAAAATAATACAGAACTGTATCCAAAAATATAGAATGGTATATATTTTAATTTTTTCCAAAAATATGAAAAACACACTTTTCATTTCAAAATGGTTGATCTGAAATAAAATTTTGAAAATGCAATTGCGTTCTGTTCACTGGCAGCCGAAGCGCATTTCCTGATGTTCTGGTACTATGCAAAGTCTTCTTTTCCACCAATATGCCACATTAAATTATTTTCCAATGCTAAATATATTAAAATATATACTTGTGAAATTACGGAAAATGCAATCGTATCATATGATACCAGATATTATTATGCAGTAGATTCCAACCATTATATTCAAGAAAAGAAAAAGTAAAGTCAAAGAAAAAACAATAAAAATAATGATACTAACTTAGCATCAATAACAATACTTTATCGGAATAATAAGGTTTAGTGAATTTGACGCAGTGATATAATTATATTTGACAATGTCATCTGTATATAAACGTTACAATTTAACAAAGAATTACGCATACGTACTTTGATTGAACTTATAAATAAAATAAGTTTTTGATCTATGATTGTCTATTGTTTCTATCATACGTAATATTTGTCTTATATTGTTTTTAATAATAAATTTGATTGCTTTTAGTTTGAAGATCATGTTGAACTTATATTTGTAACATTATATTAACAAGCGGCTTGTACTTACGACGCTTATCCAGAAATTTGAAATTTATTAAGAACCAAATAAGAACCATGTATGTTAGAAACAAATATTTTTAGACCTGTACATGTGTTATAAAGTGCTTTTCTCGATTCTTTAACCCTTTCGCTACGGGAGTGCTTTCCGCAGGAGTGTCGCTGCTGTACGGGAACAGTGACGCTCAGTTGCACTACTGAACGTACAGACACAAAGAAATATTTTAAGACATCTCTATGATTGACAATAAAAATGGGTTAAAAAATCAAGAATTACTTTTTTAATAAACTAGCACACTAGTATACTAACGATAAAAGACTGGATCGATACTTTAACTCATAGTAATTTATCTTGAAGCAAAGACAAAAACAGCATGTCGTGCAAGGACGACATCCGTACACACAGCTCGACATGTAAATGTCGTCCAGGGACGACATCCGTAGCGAAAGGTTAATACAATACAAATATTTTTATTCGTATAACTATTGTTCAACAAAATGAATCGGTTGGAAGCCACTGTCATTGTAATGAGTACGAGTAATTAACAATCAAACAGCATTGTATACAAGTGTCTTGCTCTCTCAATACACAAAGCGAAGCGGCATTTGATAAAAATACTGAGACTAGAGCTATTGCCATGTGGGATTTGTACGGGTACAGTAAAAGTAAAGGTACAATTAGACATTTGCATGATAACATGAGCAGCATAAAATTACTTACTATTGGTGTCTCTCTTTTCACACACCATTCTACCATCGGGCCCTATGGCGATAACAACAAAACATTATTGCACAACCTAGTCACAATTTCCAAGAAAAATCAAAAATAATACTTGACCGGCGCCCGTAAACATTTCGTACAGAAGAACTTTAGAAAATTGTGGATTTTTAACCCCTCAGCACACAATTTGTTCAATTTAGAAACAAAAAAAAATATTTGCAATTAAGTATATTTATGCAAAAAAGATTAATATTATAATTGCATATGGTTCATTTAAAAACAAGATGCCTACTTGCCAAAGTCCACGAGATAAATCATACTCAATAAACTAATCAATGGAAATAATCTACAATCCATCAACAAATTAAAATATTTGAAAAATTACTGGGCCTATTCTGCCGTAAAATAGATCTATGTTATGGCAAGGCTATGTTACGTTCCTGTTTTCATACAAAATGCTACTAAATACTGTCAAAATGCCATGTATTTGGTGTGCGATCAGGCGCTTTATACATGAAATGCAACTTCACTCATATATTATCAAGTCTATATCTCAAATATCTCAAAGATCCAGTTATGATACCATCGATTTTTTGACATTTGTGCGTTTTCAAGGTTAGGTATTCTATATATAACGCCTGACTGCAACCACATAAGATATGGACAGTTTTTATTAACACTTTCTATGAAAACTACTACATAACAAAGCCTAGTCATAACATAGGTCTATTTTACGGCAGAATCGGCCCCTATATTCCTGTAGACCCATGAGACCCATACAAAGCGTAATATTTTGAGACAAAAAATTAGAGCAACGTGGCGTTCGCGGAGGTGCACAATTCTCCCCAAACGTTGCCCATATACGTCACTGAGAGATGCACTAAGGGGTTAATCACATTATGTTATTAGAACTCATTATTATTATAATTAAGATTCTTACGTTCAGTAATTATTAACTATAAGAATATACAAAACTAGAATATTTTTATTATAAAGTGATCCCAATAATTCTACTTGTTAACTATATTAATAATCACGTTCACTTAATATAAAACTTTCATTGCTTTTAATTTATCTTCATCATAAACTAATGTTTATATCAATATGACATTTAAATATAATATCTGTTATGTTTCAAATTAATAATGCTATCAGCCGATCATTTTGTGCAATAAAAATACATACGATTTAGTGAGTAATATAAAAAGAATTTGATAAAATTAGATAAATGCAATTAATATAAATCATTAAACATATTTACTATTTTGTACTATGTAACTGACCTTCGAGAACTTCGATGCCTTCGGCACGTAGTAATTCTCGCAATTTTTGAATTTCTTCTTTGAGCTCGCGAATGAGTTTAGCGTTCGCGTCTTCGTTGACAATAGCTTTGCATACAATTTGTTTGGCACGATCTGCATACCTAGTAATCAATCGATGCAATATGCATTATTGTTATCAGTTAATTATATTTTTTATTAACTAGCAATAAAATAACATACCTGAGTGTACTGAGCGTTTCGTCGTAGTTAATATCAGCAGGCGAAATTGCCGCAATCATAGCGGTCTTTGAATTACCACCTAAATTTTCTCTAAGCAGCCATGTCAATACTGAGTCTCGGTATGGGATGAAATCAGCTTTACGCGATTTTTTATTTTTAGTAGCCTGAAAAGTTCAAGATCGCACATCAAATAACTATTTCGAATGTGAAGTGAAATATATTTACGTAATCAAATCATTTATGAAAGTATTTTCTAATAAATAATATTTTTCAACAACATCATAATATTAATCTTTTTACCAATTAAATCTATCAAACAAAATTTAAAAGACATTCAGATGGAATTAAAATTTTATGGCTACTAAAACTTACCGACTATATGTCCAAGAAAGATAGCCATATCAAATCGAAACAATATTAAAATTAGTAAAAAAATATAATTACAAACTATAGTAAAATCAGATATATATATATATATATGTATATATATATATATATATATATATAATGCAATTAACGCGCACTCATCAATTTAAAATTAATATAGCCAATAAGTAAATTAGTAAGAACAACTAATAATGTAAGTATGATTAAAATTATATAATTTTGTAAAATATAATAATAATATATTTACTCCCAACAATTTTAGTAATTTTATTTTATTTATTACATACTAATAAGAGAGAGGATGTAATAAAATATATATTTTAATAAAAAATAAAAACAAACTTGACTTAAATATGAAAAATGATCGATTTTATAAAACGATTGATATCATACCATTTCCGCCAATGCTGAAATAACTTTGCCGAGGGTTGTGAGCGATTTGTTTATATTGGCTCCTTCTTTCAGTCGTGTACCCTTAGCTCCAGTTGAATCTGCCCTTTCGGACCCAGCCAAATCCACGAGCGATATTTTTGAAACCTAATAATGTGTCAATTATGATGTATTAAAAAACTTCTGAATATATTAATTTTATAATTCAAGTAAGTTAAGCATACTTTTTCAGTTAGCAAATCTGTTTGAATATCATGTCGTTGTTGAGTAAAAAATATTGTAAAGACCGCATGCGATCTGGATGAGGTTTCGTTCATATTAGTTGCAGCCACAGTTCTGTAAAAATTCAATAATTAGATTATCAACTCTATTATTGAAATTCTGAATAAACAATAAATTTAAATAATTACCTGGCTTTGTTCCCTTCGTCAATCAAATCATGTATGTCCTGGTAAGAAGTCACAGCCAATTTTGATAAATCTTCTACGTACGGTCCCAACAAAGGATGTTCTCGTACCCTTAGATTACCTTTATTTTTAGGATTCAATAAATCGCGAACCCTTTCGCAATATATTTCCATATACGAAACTTCAACCTGCAGGAGGTGCAGAAATAAATGTAAAGAATAAAATCGAAACATAGATATACCCTTGAAAAGTAACTCTTTGCGAGATTTTTGGAAAATATAAGCTACATTCCAGTAATATATGTTATTAATTTTTATATCACAAATTTTCAAAAATCTATACTTACTGAGTATTTGAGCTCATCACTGGTTGTATTATGAATGCGGGCAAACAAATCCTGACAAATTTGAGGAATTATACCCTCCTGTCCTTCTTCTTGCTTGCCCATCATCGTATATGACTTTCCGGCACCAGTTTGGCCATAAGCAAATATACAAATATTATACCCTGTAAAAGTACATAGTAAAGTACGATATTAAAAATAGATGATAATTAAATAATTAAATCTTTTTTACCGTCAAAAGAATGCTGCAGCATTTCTTCGCCGATATCCTTGTACACCATAATTTGTGATGAAAAATCTTCATCTTTTGGCTGTAAAATATGAACATATTATAGATTTATCAGTCTAAGTTATTACATAACATGCATGTAACTGTCAGTTAATAGTACTCACATTGTGCGACCAGTACGAAAAATCAAAATTGAAGCTTTTAGTTGCGTCCTTGGTACCTGGCGGTGCTTTGGGATTTATGATTGCTAGGAAACAACATATGAAATAAATACCACGCGTTATGGTTAAGTTAATCAACTTAATGCAATAATTACACTAATATAATAAATTAAATTATTTCAGATTACATAAGCAACATAGATAGCAATAATTATAATTTTATATTAATAGATATATATATATATATAAATTTTGCAAAAACTGTTGCTGAAATTTTGATTTGGATAATATACATTATTGATCAGATCAATAACTCAATAAAACCGATAATAATCAACTAGAATTTACGTAACGATTTTAAGTAATGATTATTTATCTTAAGATTTTCACATTCTAATAAATTTGTTCCAACTTATTTTTTGCCTGGAAGTCTCAAAAAAAATAATTCCGATTTTCATTTAACAAATGATATTTTTGATACTATCATAAATTATTTTGATTAGTAGACTTATATTATCAAAGTGATATGTTCAACGATAGTTAAAAAAAAATACCTTTCAGCTCTTGCTTTTGATAAACCGTTTTCATAAAATTATTTCATTTTACTTACATCGTAATACACTAACAATAGAAAAGTAAAATACATTTAAAGACTGTCTTCGTTATACTATGAAAGAGCCGTTTCGTCTAACAATAAGATACACAACATCAAACTTAAGAATAAATTTAAATCTTATCATTAGTGTTGACAGAAGTACAGTATATAAATACCAGAAAATAGATAAAATACTTGAAAGCTTGGTTATTGAACAAAAAAATCTTTGATCACTTCATTTGATCAATAAACAACGTCTGTTTGGTTCAAATGCTGTATAAATATAAATAACTTTCATACTACCTTTCGTAACTTTTTTTATAAAACACATATTTGACAAAAAAAATATACTTAAAATAACTATTTACCATAATGCTAATTTCAAGCAAAAACTTTAGAATTTTAATAAAAAAATTATATTTTTATACTTAAAGTAAAAATACTACCACAATCAATTGCATTCCAAAAATTTTAATCCTAGATCAGCTAAATTGGGGAAGTTATATTGTAGTATGATCACTTTTGTACTTAAAAAAAGACCAATGCAATTTTACTATAAAATTATTGTTAACAAATGTACATTATTAATAATTTAACATATTCACTGTTTTGAAAACGATGAGTATAGATTTTGACAAATAATAGACGAAATCCATTTCGATGCAACAAAAATGAGCTTCCCGAAAATACGCCGTCATTATCGTGGGTTGAATTTGAGAAGCAAATAAAAAATTCATATGGGTCGGTATAAAAAACATTTGCTCACCAGTTGTGTTTCCAGACATTTCAATAATGCATTTTGATTCACGCGTCACTTCCCGCGAATTGAACGGGCGCACACGCACCGCCACTTTCACGGAAGACATCTTGAAGGCTTAAATCTTACTCTGAAAAATAAAAAAAAGTCATGAGACATCTATAAGATAGATTCGGATTAATTCATTTCATATAAAATTTAATCATTAACGCTTGTGCCACTTTTTTTTACCAGCCATAAATTTGGCAATTTACCAGTTGGCTGAGAGATCAAATCGTAATTTGAACATTTGTCTGCGTGGAAATACTGAAATACTGTCCTTACATACGATGGGTTAGTTATAAAATCAAATTAAACAAGAAAAGGGCGAGTGTCACAACCGTCATTGGGGGTGTGGACGGGAGAAAAAAACAAGACAAACAGATCACAAAGTACACTTTTGAAAACAAATCTTGATAATGACTGAAGTAAATTATCTAAGCAAAAACTAATTGCTGGTAAATAACTACTAATATTATAGCAAAATAACAAACTTATGATTAGAAGAATTCTAATATCAAAACTTGTTTCTGACTCTTTAAAATCAATGCAGTCTACAGATCACATAAATATAAGACAGTGACTGAAAACAATAATGTAAACTTGATCCAACAATCATATTTAATCTTTCGCCATTTGGACCCTACCTCAAACTCATTGTCAGTATACTTTAGCTGTTATGACGACTGTCACTACCCTACCCTACCCTACCTAGTCCCCCTATACATTTAAACTGCTTTTATATTTAACTTAAAAAAGGTTTAAGATTATAATGAAAAGTATAGACTTTATATTTATCATAAAAAAGTTGAAATTACTTGATTATATATTTAATGCTTCCTAATTCTGAGAGACTCTATGCTACCCAAATATCCATTTGTCACCGATTGTTAAAATTTTTTGAAACAAATTTCTCGACTCGTTTCAATTTTCTCGACTCGTTTCAATTTTCTCGGCTTTATTCCAACATTGAATTATAAACTGATTTTTGTGCTGGACGTAGAAATAAGCGAGGCAAGAAAAAAGGATATATATATATATATATATATATATGATATTATATATATATACATATATATATATATATATATATATATATATATATATTTATACATATAAATATATATATACATATATACATATAAATATATATATATATATATATATATATATATGTGTGTGTGTGTGTGTGTGCGTGTGTTATACCATCCTACTATAGGTTTATGTTACTTATTTACTTACTACGTATGTCAGTAAATTTAGATATTTATACTTTGTTCACGATTTTCACTGATATGAAATTCACTGATAATCATAAATTTAATTCAGTAAAATAATAGTATTATTACTAGTATTTGTTCTAGAATTCATTTATTTATTCCACGCTAAAAACGAATAACTTAACTAAGCAAACAAATATTTCTATTAATGCGGCGCCGTAGTTGTCACGACAGAACTGTATAATCTCGGTAAATAAAAACCTCCTAAATTGAAGGGTTGGGCATATGACTGTTTTATTATATCGATTTATACTATGTATTATTTTCGGCTATTTCGTGTCTAATGAAAACTAAATATAAGAACCAAATATTGTTTGTGATATTTCATAAAATAAAGTAATAATATTTTACTACTGCTAAGCTACTTCTTTCTGAAAATAGTTAAATTCGGTAAATAGTTTATTAATATATTTTTATTACAGGGTAAAGCAAGGCTTGAAGGTATGCGGCTATAGGGATTTTAAAAATATTGGTTATCACACATTGTCTCAAAATCAGGTAACGGTTTTTTGTGTGAGCACTGTTGTTGAGTTTACGAGACCCTAATATATTTTTTAAGTATACGTTATCTAATTGTTTTATAAGATGTATTGTTATTTTAAGAGGATTCAACAGATATTTTATATAACCCCAATTATAACTTACACGCTGGTCGGATAAAAAGGACTTACTCTGGCAAAGGCGTAAACAATAAAAAATAGTAAATATAAATGTAGATTCAGCAGAAATGCAAATTTATTAAAAATAAATTGAAATAATAGTTATTTAAATCCTGCTTATGAATATTTTGACGAAATACCAGGTCAAGGATTTGCCCATGAAATTCATATTTTGCATAGGTTAAATATTGTAGCTATATTTTCGTAAAATGCGTTAAAAATTAAAAATAAGACATTGAATCTATTTGCTCCCTGGTTGTCCCATTTTACCCCGTCTATGGGTTAAAAAAGGTCAGATGACAAATTTTAGAAAAAAAAGTATGAAAACATTTTCATAATTAGGAATGCACTGGGAATATTATTGAACATAGTACAATAGTTGTTTGTTTGATACGCGGTATGTGTTGTAAAGTAGATCATTTGGTTCAGTTAGACAGTATAATTACATAAAGTCAAGTTGGAACTTTTTGCCCCGCCTTACCCTACAGCAAAATCCGTAATCTCAAACTAAATAAAAATGATATTTAATGCCATATATTTTATGGATCATATCGTGAAAACAGAATTGTTTCGCAATATTGAGCCAGAAGTATTTTCTCCAGAAGAGGAAAAGCAACAATTATAACATACAATACTACTGATTCACTAGCTTGAGAAAAGAGAAACATATTCTAGCCCTAAAACTTGGCTTGTTTGCTTCTAGATGTCCTCATGCCTCTAGTTTTGCATTTGAAGAATAGTGTTCTTTGGCTTAAGACTACCTTTTATTGTTTTAATATTAGTAGATTACTGCTTGCGGAGGAGGATATAAAACGTATGTAAACAAAGACGTTTATTTTAAATTTATTCTGTGATGGAATCTTCCCAAGTTCTAAGATATGGATAATATGTTATTATACTTATTATTATTATATAATTATCAATAAACACATAAGTTAATTAATAACTATAATAATAGAATACACATTTTTAGAGTTACATATTTAATTTATGTAGAGTGTTTTTGAATCATATAAATAAATTTGAATGAACAAACTCAAAACCACATATTTCTTTTTAGAACATTTTATATAATCTTTCTTTTTGTTTTCATTTGAACAGCAATCAAAACTACGTGTTCTACAAGCTGTTGTTTTGACGTACACCCAGTGTTGGATTAAGGTCTCTGGCGTCCTAGGCCCTATCCGCCCAGGCGCCCTTTTTAATAGACAAAATTTAATTTTTTTTTTAAAAATTATTTAGATATAATTTTTAACTTTGCATAGGGTAAGTTATGTAAATTGCAAATGAATCGAAAATGATATTTTTTTCTTATCTTCACATTTCAAGGCCTTCTGAAAATTTTGGTATACGTCAAAATGTGTATGTGTGTATATATGTATGTATGTTCAATTCCTATTGATTCTGATTAGTTTTTCCTCGAATCTTTTCCTTATGTCGTATTTTTGTAGATGGTAACCCGACTGTTGATCCTTTTATATTTGATTACTTCATTATTAGAAATTATCTAGTGACTTATTATTAATATTCTAATAAAGTATCTGGTAATTTGATGTGCGTATGTCCAATGATCATTTTTCACCACCAAGTGTTGTTTTTATAACTTTTTTCTGGATCTTCATAATCGCTGAACCTGTCTTCCCTAAAATTGGTTAATTCTTCATTTCGTCAATGTGAGAAAATGCTTTTTGAATCATTCAAATCGGTTGCTCCGTTCCCTCAAAAACCGAATATTCAGAAGGTTTTGAAACAAAAATATTTGTGAACAATTGATTTACGTTTTGTTTTTCGAATTACTATAACGTACCCGTGGAAGAACTACCAATTGGTGGTCTAAAATGATCAATGAACCTAAGCACATCAAATTATAGAATTCATTTTAGAGAAAAACAAAATTATATACGAGCCAAGAAATAATTAAATTATCACAAAATAACAAATAATATATTATGTTAATTCCCGAAATAAAATAAGAAACCATTTAAAACCATTTTAAAGCGTTTTGTTTGTAAGATCTACCTTAACAAAGTTACAAAAAATGAACAGAGCTTCAATATTTCTGCAAAAAAAGCTTATCAATTTGATAATTTTTATTTCAAACATGATACATCAATAAAAATATTAATGAGGCGTTCTCGAATAAGTTTGATATAGAAAACGAATAACATTATATTTCATAGAAAATTATCTAGATCAGGATCAATCCTTAAAATAAATCGCCGTGACAATTTTTCGGATTTAAAATTTTGACATTCTGAAAAATTTGCCGCCCTCCAAATTGTGCCGCCCTAGGCCCGGGCCTCACCGGCCTATGGGGCAATCCAGCACTGCGTACACCTAATTATATTGTTCTCAAGAGTCAACCACTCTGTAATATATGTATATTTAATAGTTTCGGCGTATTTTTTCATATGCAGATATGCAGACAAAATGGGATTTCCACCTGAAATTATATAAAGATCTATAATCTCAAATGGAAATTTGCCATCATGCTGCCGGAAAGGGATTCGAACCCGAGACTGAATGCTGCTAGCCGACTTTGATACAATATAAATGAAATTTTGTACAATAAAAGTATTAATTTGTGCAACAAAATATAATATACAATTAATACTTTCATTTGAATATAATTTAACTAAATTGTTATGAAACTAGTTCCATTCATATGAGTCCAATAAATAGTTCCATTCTTATAACAGTTTTTGCGGTTTTAACACAATCTGTCTCACGTATTTATACTCAGATGATGCTAAATGCAACATTTTATAAAAATTTCTTATACAATTATATTATATATATCATTTTACATTCTGAATATGATAATATGAAAATAAACCTCATTATTTATTAAACTGAAATATAATATAACGTAATTAAGTATATATATATATATATATATATATATATATATATATATATATATATATATATATATATATAAATATATCCACCACCGATATCTCAAAAACCAGCCAAGTTAAGAATTTTTCAATATTTGACCAATATTTGAAAGTAGAGAAGAAAAGATGTATAACCAGCCGTCAACTTGATATTACGACGTTTATATCGAGAAAAAAACGGCAATGTTTGAAAATCCATGGCAAAAGTATTTTCTTTTGTTAATAATAATTTTTTAGTATACTTTA